TGCGAATTGAATGAATTTCAATGAAATAAGTGTGCAAAGGAGAGTGTAATCATGACCTAACAACAGTTTTCTTTGTTGAAATTTGTATTTGTTACAATTATCCCTTCACATTATTTTCAATTTTATAAAAAAATATGAAATGTTTAGATTTATAAAGCTAGCCGCAAGGTCAACAAGGAATACCTAAAATCAAGCTAATTTCTATAGTATATTTATATTAATTTATACTTGCGGCCCTCAAAGTTTAGGGTTAACTTACAGTCAACCTCTAAGAGCAATAAAATTTTAGATATTTTGAAAATTCCAAAATTGCCTTTATAAATTTCATAAAAACAAAAATAGATAACTAAAAAATTAAAAAAAAAAAATCTTAAACAAAGAAAAATAAAAGATGCCTTTCTCCTGTGCTTAATATAATTTTCCATCTCAACACACACCCATAAGCCCTCAATTGCGTTTTATGGTGATGTGATAGACATATTAATGAATCCAAAGGTATGAACGAAAAGAATATAGGGATTTAGTGAGAATAATTGTAGAAGAGGCTAATGAATTTCAAAATCATAGATCAGGGTATTTTTACTTTGAATTCATATTTGTTTTGTTTTTGTTGTAGATGGATTGACTAAATAGATTCAGAATGAACTTGCACAATATATGTTACTTGCTAATGATATAATATTATTGCTAAAAATAAAGAAATAATAAACAATACACTAGAAATATGGAGAAAGTTTTAAAATAAAAAAAAATTAAGATAAATAGGACTAAAACTAAATTTATGAAATTTAAATTTAGTAAAAGGAGCAATCTAAATTGGGAAAAGTTTAGATTGAGTATCAAGGTACATTGTATTATTCAATATTTGGGGTAAATTATTAATAGAAAGTATGAGACTAAGGGTAATATTATTTGTAAAATTTAAATAATATGAACTCAATGGAGGAATATATCTACTGTATCATGTAATAGGTGCATATATCTCTTAAGCTTAAACAACCATAAGACCAATCATGTTCCTTGTGGTACCTGATGATGATGGATTTAAGTATGATCTTTTCTAAAGTCCAAAACCTCTTTAAACTCAAACAAGACGACCCAAACTTCTCATCCAAGTAGCATTCATTAGGTCCGAATTGGACCACAGTCTAGTTTCATAGAAGTCCACAACAAATCTAGTTCGGAATAGATGTCAACTCAACATCAACAAGTTTGTACAGATACCCACTCGAGAGTTAAGAGCTCAACACCAAACAATTAACTAAGTGGCCGTATTGCGATATGTGAACAGGAGACAAGGGAATAGTACCTAATAATCCTAACAAACGAATATAAATTGATAGTGGAGATAACTCACGTATTTTATTCAAGGCGTAATGGGTGCAAGAAAGTGTTAGGGGTGGCAAGCCTCCAACAATGGAACAAATGAGAAGGAGACCACAAAATTAGCCAAGAAAGGAACCACCATGAAGCCCCTAACGATAAGATGCATAAATATCAAAAGAAGTCACTGTGTAAAGAGAGATATGAAAAAGAGATCACTAATCAGTAACCTAAAAAAATACTCTGTAAAAAGTTTCTAGCCAAATATCTTTTATCAACAATCTTTTTCCCCAAGAAATACAATTCCCAAAGAGCAAGAGCCTCCTTTACAATGGATGTAACCTCAGTCCTTCGACTGAGATGAAACACTCATATTATTGTATTCATCTCACTTTCAACACTTAACGTTTTCTATCACATAGACATATACTCATTCCCCCCTGGGGGTTCAACCCAAATTATTTTATAATTGGGTCAGTTGATTACAAGTACCATCAATACCAAAAATTAGATATCTAAGAAACAATGGATTTAAAAATAGAGTATAATAGAAATAAAGAATGCTGAAATGAACGTGTGATAAAACTATAAATGATAGGATTAGAAAAAATAATATCTATGAAAAAATTGTTTGGATATATTTGTAGAAAGCAGTATTGCACCAGTGAAATTAGTTAATAATCAAAGGTTTTACGGATACAAGATTTGGTAAATAAATTTGGATAACACAATTCTATCATAAGTAAAATTGATTATTGATAGGCCAAGTTCAAGGGCCCAACTCATGTTATAAGTCTGGTCTGAGCAAAAAGCCAATCTCTAAAAGATCTAGCAAGTTCAACTCAATGTGGTGAACCCGAATAAGTTCATCAAGCTCAAGGAGCAACATCAGTAGGGAGCATGCAAAAGATCATCCAAGAGCCTTCTCCTAACTACCTTGGAGTAAAGGTTATCCAAGAGCCTCATCCAAGTCATCTTGGAAGAAGTCAACTCTTACCTTATCCTTTAACTGAGTCTCATAGAGAGCACTTCAACCCACCTGACTCGTTGAGAAGAAGTCGCCAACTCCACTAGAATAGTTACTTAGTTCCTCCAATCTGTTATGAGATGACTATAAATTATAAGCCCCATCAACACTTGGGGGGGGGGGGAAATCACACTTTGTTGAGCATGATTCTCTCTTCTCTCTCTTAACTTGTAACTCTCTGCTATTCTGCATACTTGAACTAACAAAATACCCGACGACCCTAGTCATTCAGAAGTGGACGTATGTCACATTGATCGAACCACTATAATTCTTGTTTTCTCCTTCACTACTTTAATTACTACATTTATTTTCAATTACTTGACAGGTAATGTTCAATGTTATTTTGTATATCATCAGTTATAAATCAAAAAATAAAAATTTATGATAACTTGTGATTTAATAACCCTTAAGAAAGCATAATTGCAAAAAAGGGATTCATAATAGGCAATCACAAAAAAAATTAAGACAAATTTATCAAGTCGAATTGAGTTTTGTTTTCCTTATTTAGAAGTAGGAAATTTACAATATTGTAATTAATACGGAAACAAGCATGACTTTAGGTTTTCCTCTTTTGTTCTTTGGGTTAACTTTTTTAAAATTTAATCACTTGGAATTTTTTTATAATTTAAAAAATAAGAAATTAAGAATAAGTTAAGAGTAAAGGACATGTTAAAAGTAATGTACATGGGACGGAATCTCATTTAAGGGCCACACCGTTACTAAATAAAATAAACACAAGGATTTACCAATGTTGATTTTAATTTTAATACCAAGGAATTTTAATAAAAGATTGAGAATCAAGTTCTAACAACCAACAACTCTAGCAAAAACACACCTATAAACTCATATTCATATTGGAAAGAAAATGAGCTTGGACTAGTTCCGTCTTTAATGGAGGGAAGGGGAAGCAGCCTACTGTCCAGCTAACATCGTACTTAAGGATCGCCCTAATTTACCAACCAAAAAAAAGAAAGAAAGTAGTTCTAGTCCTTAGTCACCCTTATTGTCAATTAGGGGGCTAGACCTATCTGGGGTACTTCTATACATTTTTTTATGGGTAACGAGAAATTATTTTTTTCATAGACGAAGGATATAAGAATCACAAAAAATTATATAACAAATCAAGATTTGATTGAAGATCATATAAGAGATATGCCTTATTTCTATCACACAAACTTCATATCACTTATTTGTATCACCAAATTTTATCATTTAAAGAGATTAAAAATGCTGGCCACCCGAACTAATTTACTATGATTAAAAATTCATAATTCATGAAAGGTTTTCCCTTTTATTTTCTTTTTGCCTTTTTGTTCGTGGGTAAACACGAAAGCTTCTGTAAGGTGACCCGCGGCATAACCTTTCTCTGAATAAATAATAATCATATGTGGAGAGAGAGAGAGAGAGAGAAAGAGAGGGTCACACGGAGGAGCGTTGAGGGATGTGATTTATCTCTACACGCGCCAGCTGTTATCTCTATCTAGACCGCGTAAAGCCTTTCACAGCTGTAAAGCTAAATTCCACACACGTGCCTATTATCTTCTTATATTTTTTCTTTCCTTTCACACCACAAAATTCCTTAAATTACGGGTCTCTCCCCATACTAACCCCAACCAAATCTCTCTCTTCCAATTTAATTCCATTCCAAAACCGTTACCATATCCATTTTAGTAACTTCCCTTCCCCTTTAGAGACCCCCCAACCGGCTATACCCGGTAAACCTAGTATTGTAATTCTGAACTGATGAGACCACACGAAATCCAAAATGTGTAATAGCATTTTACTTCTTCAAATATTTTCAACATCTTACTCCCCCTCCCGCTCTTCTTAAAGGTCAAATATTTCACATTATTTTCATAATTAGAGGTCTCAATCGTATCAATTTCGTATTGTGTCACTTTTAGTCGTATTTTTTTTGCGTCATATTACTTTTGATACGTGTCGGGTTCATGTCAATATTCGTGTTAATAAAAAATTATTTAATTTGACAACAACTAATATAATAAATTATAAAAATCTTATTTTCTATCTATAATACTCATTAAATAATTATTTTCTATCTATAGTACCTATTAATCGTGTTATTCGTGCCGAACCTTAATTTGGTGATGTAAGGTGAGAGTTTTAATCTTGAGCAATATTATTGGGACCTAATTTAGTAATTAAATTAGTAGAGAGTTGAAATGTTGAATAAAGTTTATTTTTAATCCAACAATTATAAATAATTAGGTCATTGCAATATGTCTCCAAATTATGAACCCATAATATTGATAAAGACAAGTTCAAATATTTAGAATTTATTGGGGGTAAAGTGTCATTCTTCCAATTCAAAATGCCAGTAGTAGCTTCGCATCAGTTATACCATATTGCCGCACAGCTATATTTTTTTTTTTGATAAATATACACAGCTATATTTAATAGATAGACAATATAGATATAGAAAGAGAAAGTTAGAGAGAGAGAGAGAGACACAGAAGGGTCGGTTACAGTTAAGAAGTAGAAGGGAAAAAGGGATCTAAATATCTCGTTGATGATCAAGATGATGATGAGGCACTCCAAAGTCAATCTTGGCCATCCACACCACTCTATTGCGTAGACCCATATTGGTAAGCAAGTCGGTCGGTCTCTTCATTCTTATCCTTTTACCATTACCACCACCTTCCTTGTACAAAAAGGAGTTTCCATATTGGTTTTTCAACGAAAATTCCACATAAACATAAATATTCTTATATTCATTAACTATTATACGCTTCTTCTGGTTTGTAACACCCACCGATAATAATATCAGAAAACAAGCACACCCTTCAAGCCAAATCTTCATTTTCATTGCTGTTTTGTAGAGTTTTTTCCTCATTCTTTGGCTTTTTGCTCATAAACCCAAGATTTGTCATCTGGGCATTTGTCATTATGTTTTCGAGATCTTGTTTTAATCTTCTAAACCTTGATGATTATTCGACTGTTGATCGGACTCGTATACCCAGAGTGATGACAGTCCCGGCGAAAATATCGGAGTTTGATGAGAGTTATGATGAAGGCGAGGTTGATGATAAAAGTTGTGAGAGAACTGAGTCCGACGACGTTGTCTCGTCAGTGAGTCAAGAACGCAGAATCATTGTGGCAAACCAGTTGCCAATCAAGACTTTTCGAGATTCAGAAACCAAGAAATGGTGCTTTGAATGGGACAAGGATGCTTTGGCTTTGCAGCTCAAAGATGGCTTTTCGCCGGACGTTGAAGTCGTCCATGTCGGGTGTTTGAAGGCGAAGATTGACCCTGCGGAGCAAGAAGAGGTGGCTCAGTTTTTGCTGGATAAATTTAGGTGTGTACCCACTTTTCTGCCATTAGAGTTATTGAACAAGTTCTATCATGGCTTCTGTAAGCATTATCTTTGGCCTTTGTTTCACTACATGTTGCCCGTGACACCAAGCCATGGAGTCCGTTTTGATCGTACTATGTGGCAAGCCTATTTATCAGCAAACAAGATTTTTGCTGATAAGGTAATAGAGGTGATCAACCCTGATGAGGATTCTGTTTGGGTACACGATTATCACCTCATGGTATTACCAACTTTCTTGAGAAAAAGATATCATAGAGTAAAGCTTGGGTTTTTCTTGCATAGTCCCTTTCCATCGTCGGAAATATATCGAACATTGCCTGTGAGGGATGAGATTTTGAGGGCCTTTTTGAACTGTGATCTTATTGGATTCCATACATTTGATTATGCAAGGCATTTCTTGTCATGTTGTAGAAGAATGCTGGGATTGGATTATCAGTCCAAAAGGGGTTACATTGGTCTGGACTATTATGGTAGAACTGTCAGCATTAAGATCCTCCCTGTTGGTGTTCATATGGGTCAGCTTGAATCCATTAAATCTCTGCCGGAAACAGCCATGAAGGTTCAAGAATTGAAGGAAAAGTATGAGGGGAAAACTGTGGTGTTGGGTGTTGATGATATGGATATGTTTAAGGGTATTAGTTTGAAGTTTTTAGCAATGGGGCAGCTTTTAGAAGAGCACCCTGAATTTAGGGGAGTAGTGGTTTTGGTTCAAATTATGAACCCTGCGAGGAGTTCAGGTAATGATATTCAAGAGGTTCAGAATGAGATCAATAAAGTTGCAGGGGAAATCAATCAGAAATATGGCCAACCTGGGTATGAGCCGATTGTTTGTGTCAATGGACCAGTTACAACCCAAGACAAAGTTGCATATTTTGCAATTTCTGAGTGTAGTGTGGTGAATGCTGTGAGGGATGGCATGAATTTGGTGCCTTACAAGTACACAGTTTCCAGGCAGGGTAGCCCTAATTTAGATAAGGCCTTGGGGCTCGATGGGTCGGCAACACCAAGAAAGAGTGTTCTTATTGTTTCAGAATTCATTGGATGCTCACCATCTCTCAGTGGGGCAATCCGGGTTAATCCTTGGAATATTGATAGTGTGTCGGATGCTATGAATTTGGCAATCACAATGCCAGAGGCTGAGAAACAAATGCGCCATGAGAAGCACTACAAATATATTAGTTCTCATGATGTTGCTTATTGGGCGAGGAGTTTTGATCAGGACCTTGAGAGAGCCTGTAGGGAGCATTATATCAAGTGGTGCTGGGAAATTGGATTTGGATTGGGTTTCAGGGTTGTTGCTTTGGGTCCTAATTTCAGGAAGCTCTCAGTAGAACACATAGTTGATTCTTATAATAAGACCAACAGCCGGGTTATACTTCTGGACTATGATGGTACCATGATGCCACAGGGTCAAGTGAATAAAACTCCTAGCAGTGAAATTATTTCAGTCTTGAATGGCTTATGCAGTGACCCCAAAAATGTTGTTTTTATAGTGAGTGGCAGAGGAAAGGACTCTCTGAGCAAATGGTTCTCCCCATGTGAAAGACTTGGCCTATCTGCAGAACATGGTTACTTTACTAGGTAACATTGTGGTTCTTTGATATATTGAATCATTGTTGTGGGCTTCCTGTTGTTCTCTTTCTAATGATGTTTCCTTTGTTTAATTTGGTTCTCTTGCTATCCTCAGGTGGACTAGAGATTCCCAGTGGGAGTCCTGCACGTTAGCAATGGATGTTGACTGGAAAAAAATGGCGTTGCCAGTGATGGAGCATTATACGGAGGCAACAGATGGCTCTTTCATAGAACAGAAAGAAAGTGCTTTAGTGTGGCACCATCAAGAAGCTGACCCTGACTTTGGGACATGGCAAGCAAAGGAGCTTCTAGATCACTTGGAGAATGTTCTAGCTAACGAGCCTGTAGTTGTTAAAAGAGGCCAGTACATTGTTGAAGTGAAACCACAGGTATAAAGCACATATATTGAAAAATTATAGCTCTGGGAACATTTTGAAATAACAACATGCACTACTTGGGAGGGATTCCAATATAAACAGAAGTTGGAATAGACATGCAGGACAACTCCCCCCCCAAAAAAAAAAAAAAAAACCCCAACAAAAAAAAAAAAAAACCCCAATCCCAACTCCTTGTTACTCTTATTTTGAAAGAGGAAGGGTGGACATGGGAGCATTCCATAACATAACGATCATTTATAATCCCATGAAAATATGCAAAGAAACTAGGAATGATTGTCTAATTGCAAGAAGAACTCAATTAGTAGTTATTTGTGATATATCGATTTATACATGATAGTATCTGGTTGTAATTTTCAAATTATCTTGGGATGAACTTGCTGGGATATTATTATGATCAAATATTTATTAGCTCTTTTTTTATATGGGTATTGTATATACATTTGTTTGATTAAAGTTTAGGTACAATTCAACAATTCTTGACTTTTTAGTTATTATTAGATCATTTCTGTTTGAATCTATTCTTTTTTCTGTGCTAATGCTAATCATTGGTATTGCAGGGTGTGAGCAAAGGTGTAGTGGTGGAGAGTCTTATTGCAACCATACAGAGTAGAGGGAAGCCGCCAGATTTTGTGGTGTGCATAGGCGATGATCGTTCAGATGAAGACATGTTTGAGAGCATTGCAAGCTCAGTTGCCAACCCGTCCTTGCCTGACATAGCAGAAGTATTCGCGTGCACAGTTGGTCAGAAACCAAGTATGGCAAAATACTACCTTGATGATACAGTTGAAGTAATTAGGTTGCTGCAAGGCCTTGTCGCAGCAACATCGTCACAGAAACCAAAGTCTGCTCATTTCCAAGTCTCATTTGAAGGGTCTCTTTGATAGGATTGACAACTAGGAGAGATCATTCAAGTCTCTGCCGTTAATAGAGGGCATTTGGCACCAAGTTCAGAGCAGAATGCTTGCTCTCTGTTGTTGTCTTTTTCGAAGGGGCAGGCACAATCTAGAGCTAGTGAGATACCCAGCTTTGTACAGAACATACTTTACATTTACAGGTCATCTCAACACCAATAGTTGGAAATTTACCAAAATTAGTTGATTCAGGTTTTCATAGTTCCATCTGCTGAATGAACTCGTTTCCATAACCTTTAGAAATTTAATTCTTGATTCTTTTGTTTAATAGAAATCTATAGCATGCCTTAAACTACATGGATGATTTTTAGAATTTGAGCCAAACAATCACATTTCATGATGATGCTTGAAACATGGGTTGTAATTCCTAATTTTGTGCTGTCACTTCCATTCTATTTGATTGTCATTGTTCTTTGTACATCATTTTTTGATAATACACTCTAGAAGTATGCATCATCTTTGTCTATGCGGAGCTGTCAATAAGAAATTATGAGATGAATCAAGACTTCGTGCATGATCATGGCTTGTATTAGACGTATAAATTTGAATTCACACTATTAATGGGAGTTTTTATTCTTCAAACTTGGTGCATAAAATGATAGCCTGATTTGAACAGTTCAATTAGCCCCAAAGTAGTTCGTAAACAGCCATATTTGCATCTGACGCTAGTAGCTTCATACTATCATAGAAAAAAGATGCAGGGAAAGAAATTAATCATCCTGTTTTATAGCATACGGTAGTGATACAAAACTTGAGTATCAAGACCAGGTTTTGTCATTTGATTGCATCGATGGTTGGTTGTGGCATGTTAATGATTGTCCGCTTACCTTTTTATGGAAAAATAGTCTGGAATACGATACTGAGATTTGAATTTGTTTTCGTTTCTACATTTTCACTGAAAATTTGTGACAGTATAGGGGCTTTAATTCAGTGCTTGTAGTTTCTGGTTGGTAGCTTACAGAAACTGTTGCGACTATGCATTATTAATTACAATCTTATTGTTACTATATCTGATTATACTGTATTGTACAAGAATTATTTTGTATACGCTCGTTGTCATGTCCAAAAAAGTTGATGTAGACGATGCTCTTTGAACATCAACGCGGTCTTTGGTTGGATTTCTTTGAAGATAAATATCTGATTTTAGTTTTCGATTGAGGGGTCTCTCCTTTAAAGTGATCAATTCTTGTGTGCTTTCTTCTTTTTCTGTCTCTATAAGAGAATTCTATGACTACACCTGTTTGAAATGTCCAATAATGACCCATGCATTCTCTTATCACTTTGGTTGCCATAGCTTCTAATCATTGGGGGTATGTAATTGATGAAAACTGGCCAAGAAGGTTTTGAACTAGAAAAATGAAATATATTGTAGTTTTTTCCAAGTCATACCTTGCCATGGAAGGCGGTGATGCAAAATCATGAAGAAAAATCTGCGATTTTAAAGGATTCTATATCTCTGCAATAGAGGCCAAATATTTTTGACAGTCGATTAAAGTCATTGTGATAAAATACGAAGTCAGTCAGTTATTTTTCTTTATAGGCCAGCATGTGAAGTTTTTAGGCTTTTTGCCAGTCTACACTTGTGGACTTTTGGGAGAAGGACATTTTTTTTGGGACTTAAAAGACAACTAAAAATATAAAAATTAATTTATTTTTAATAAAATAAATAACTATATTATGAAATGGACAGTAACAATAAGATGATAACGGTAATAGCAACACAGTAACAATAACAATGACAAAGTAACAATATCAATGACACAGTAATGTAACTATCATAGTAACACAATCAAATTAATAGTAATGCCCATATGGGTGGGGTGTAAAGGATGATTGGGAATGGAGGTACTGTAGAAGATGGCAGGGCCGAAGCATAGAATAGTGGTGGACTAGACAGTAACACGATCATAGTAACATGAACACGATCACAGTAACAGCTACAGGCACTGTCAAAATTCTATGGATGTAAACAGTAACGTGAAGTAGATAACCACACGATCACAATAACAATCATAGTCACTGTTAAAATTCTACGAAATTAGTAGTAACGTGAACTAAATTGTCACACAATCACAATAATTGCCATAGTGATAGTGACAATGACAAATATAGTGAATTTTGTTGTTATTATTCAAATTTTATTGTCCAACAAATTTAAACTAAATAAAAATATCATCAAGATTTACAATTCAACTTAAATATTGTATTTTTCGAAGGCTGGTCTGTAGTTGTGGACTTTTAGGTCAAAAAGGACAGACACATTCTTTTTGGGGTTTAAAGGACAATTAAAGACTAATTTACTTTTAATGACATAAATAACTATATTATAAAATGAACAGTAACATTAAGACAGTAACAGTAATAGTGACACAATAATAATAACAATCATTGTTACAGTAACAAGAATGCCTGTGTGGTTGGGGTATAAGGGGCGGTGATTGGTAATGGAGTTAATATGGAAGATAGCAAAGTTGGAGTATAGAGTAGTGGCGGACTAGACAGAAACAAGAGGACAGTAACAACATGATAGTAGTAACAATCACAATCACTGTCCAAATTATACAAAATTAGACAATAATGTGAACTATAGAACCGCGATCACAATAACAGCCACAATCACTGTCAAAATTCTATGGAAATAGACAGTAATGTGAATTAAATAGCTACATGATCACGGTAACAATCACATGATCACAGTAAAAACCATAGTAACAACCACAACCACTAATAGAACGGTTCATAAGTTTAAACAAAAAAAAACACATTTTTTGCATCCATATCAAGACATATTCAAGATCAATGTATCAAAACAACCAAGTAAAAGTGGAGATCTAAAAAAATGGAAAATTAGAAGGAGGTATACCAAATTAGACTTAATTATAAAAAAGTACACAGAAAAAAAATGTTGGGTAATTAAGTCTTTAATTTTGATACTTATTTGTATATCTAAGTACATTATTTAAATTTTATTGATTTTTTTGTGATATTTTTGCCTTTCATTAATCCATGTGTTTTTTTTTTGGAAAGTAGTGCATTAAACATCTCATAGTTTTATGGGAGAACTTCAATATATATATATATAGATATATATATATATATATATATATATATATATATATATATATATATATATATATTTACTTATTTATATATACATGAATACATATTTATATACTAAGAATAACTCGTGCCTGAAGTCATGGTGCGATTCAAAAAACGTCGAATACTAAATTTGGGCACAAAATAATCAAGCATTGAACTTGGATTTGTACTTAGCTGAAACCCTAAATTGTCCCCATAATTTGCGCCTGAAATTTTGCAACTCAAATAAAAAGAAAAACTTACATTGTTTTTTAAAACAAAACAATCAAAAACTTAAAATAGACACGCTAGAAATAAACAAACACCAAATATTAATCGTGAACACGAAATAATCAAGTATTAAACTTGGACCGACACTAAGTTAAAAGCCTAAAATGCATCCTTTAATACATCCCCATTTTACATAAATGATTAACAAAGTATTACCTATATGAAAAATAAAAATTCTAATAATAAATCACAGCAACCACTTTTTTTTTTTTAAAAAGGGCAAAACTTGAACTTGAAAAATAAAAATTCACACCTCAATGATATTATCATTCTAAAAATTTCAACCAGTATCTCCTAAAACTTCTTATTAGAAGTTTTAATTTAATCCTGAACAATGTCGCATCAAAATTATGAATCTGAAAGAGATGTAAATACCCATTTCGACATAGAGAAGAAATTCGTTTAGATTTCTATCCTCTTTCTGATGATTCTATATCTGATGACTCCTCAATATAAAGTCAATAGGCAGAGTTTTGGAACACAACATGAAACTGATTTTTTTTATCAATCTAAAAAAACAAATAACACAACTAATGGATGTGAATAAGTGATGAGTTACTGACATTCATAATACTCGTCTCATACCATTATGCCAGTTCATGAGTAATTTCATTAAAGGAACTAATCATAGAACACATTCATCATAAGCACATTGCCCAAATACTTTATTTTTAAGAAAATCAAAATAACAGGCAAAACAATATAACACATACTATTCGTGTTGTTCAACAAATTGAATCTTTTTAATTCTACATAACACCATTATTCAAACTCATAAATTCCCTCAACCTTCTCACCACATTGCAATATTCCTCAAATCTTGACACATCAAGAACCCAAGATCATCATTACATGCCATAACAGATACGTGCACATATATACATTAAAAAAAAAGACATGATCAGCAAAGAAAAGCAAAAACCACATCAAAAAGTGAAAGAATATCAACCCAAATCAAAGAAATACAACACCATCATATACATACACATCCAACCTTGATCAAGAACTTCCAAGAATCAAACAAAGACAACAAAAAGAAACAAAATCGAAGATTCTACCCACTTTGTTGAGTTGAGTTGAGTCGAGTCAAGTCTTTCTAACAGAGTCTCTCTCCCTCTTGCTCTAAGAACTGAAAAAGGGCTCTTCTGAGAGAAAAGCAGAGTTGAAGCAAAGATAAAAAAAGACTTGTGAAGCAGACCCACCCACCCACCCACACACATACACATAATCAACCGTTCAAATGTCAAGTTCACCAAGAAAGCATGTTAGAGGATAATTATGAAAAAAAATCACTCAATCAACAAAACTATGCAATTTTATAAAAAACATTAAAACATAAGACATTCGTACATGCTGACAACAAAGAAATGTTATTAACATTGTGGAAATTGAGCTTATTTACATAGTTTATCCATACAATTAAAGTAAAACCCACAACCATTTGGCCAAACAAACTAAATGAAAACTCATAATTCATATAAGTTGAGTTAAAGATTACCAATTAAAAGCCCCATAAATACATACAATCACAACCCAATTTTGCTAAAAACACACAAAAAAACTTGAGAAAACCCCAATTTCAGCCTTATGACATCGAATACCCATCTCCAATTTTTACCCCCAATTGAAGTTTTCAAAAAAAATATCAACAACTATAAAAATAAAAAAGGAGATGGAACCTAAGTCTCACTGAGGAACAGATTACTCACTCAATCAGCTCTCTGTGAAAAAGATTTTTTTCGTTGATCCAATAAAACCCATATTGTTTATCACACTTATATGCAGTTTCTTGATTCCTAGTACTGTGTGGATCTTCTCTTTCCGGTTGGACAACAAAGGAAAGTTAGATAGTATTTCAGCAACTTCCAAGACCTTTTCAATTTGTTTTTTTCAATTCTTTCCAAATTGATTACATCAAATGTATATTTAAACACATATTTAGCCACCACAACCGTCAGCCCATCCCCACCCACAATAAAAAAAAAAAAAAAAAACCAAATTCA